TGCATCAGCTCACAAGGGGGCGCTACATGTCCAGTAGCTGTCAATCCAGATGAAACAGGACGAAGGTGATACACCAGGATGGGCTGTGCCCCCTCCGCACACCCCCTTACTGCAGGGATAGCTGAGAGAGGCAACATTACAATATGGCTGACAAATGGATTTTGCGCTATGCACACAACCTGTGGTACTTAACTACAGCCTGACGGGCATTTCTCCTGCTGCTTCTCTGGCTCTTTCCTGTTTCTCTCTTGCTCAAGAGGCACCAGTTTCTTTCTAGCTGCTCATTTTCTGCTCCAGTACCATGGCTTTCCCTCAATGCCTCAGTACTGACTGTAACAGAACGCTGCCTCGTACAAAAAGACAACTGCAGCTGGGGTCCAGCAGTCTCATTCTTTAAGGGAGTTACAGGCTGCAGCTCTGTGACACTGGAGTCCTGGCAGCATGATACAATTTACATTGGCTGCCAAGTGTGGACAGAAAAATACAAAGTAAAAAATGACATTACTCTCTAATAATGGACAAACTGCCTTCACTGTTGCCTAAGGAATATGACAAAATGTATAATTCTTCCACAGTTCTCCTCAGTAGTTTGCACCAGGTCTTTACCAGATCTTCACTGTGCTGTGCCAGACTACACTGTAAAAGTCCACCCATTATCCACTGCTGCACCTACACAGGGTCTCGGTGAGCCGGAGCCTAATCCAGCAGGAACAGGGACTAGTACACACACAGGGGTAGGGTTCACACACAGGGACAATTAAGAGACATCAACTAACCCCGGCCAGCATGTCTGTGGGAGAAGCCAAGGAGAACATGCCAACTCCACACAGAAGTGGCCCAGGCTGGAAACGAACCCAAAACCCAGCAGCAGAACTGATAGCCACGCTTTCCCTTCACTCCAAGAACATAGAACAAATACTTACTAAGAGCTGCTCAGGGCTATATAACAATATAATAATTATTAATAATAATAATAACCTCAAAAAAGCAGTCTGACAGCATAGTAAAATCATAGGAAAGCACAGTGATGGTCAGTACAAACCGCTTATAAGATAATGTTGGATGCCAAATTACACCTGTGGCAAAAGAATAAATCTTCTTTCTCAAATGACTGAAAAGACCTTAAAACCTGGGTGTTTTGCTCAAACCACTCTTTATCACAGAAAATAATCTGTTTTCAGGTAACACTGAGTGGTACTAAAAATGAAACTACAAATATGATTCAAGCATTCCACCAAAACTATGCACGTAGAATTGAACTGTGATGAATCAGTCCTTCAGTAGAGAGTGCTCTTTGTCTCAGAGCTACAGCCTGATACCAGAGTGTGAAACAGGACTCCTGTGTCGGCACTGCTCTGTGCTGACAATCCGCAGTTGTGTTTCAGTATGGGAGACCCTAAACCCTCGCCAACATCAGGGCTGCCCACTGCCCATAAAATCAGGTCTAATTTTAAAGGTATGGAAATCCCTAAAACACTCAAATCTGGAATTCTGGATGAAATAAGCTGTCTGCTACAGAATGAACACCCTCCCACCCATGGGAGGAAAAAAATACTCCTCTTTCCCAGACACCAAGAGATACCCCACTCCTGGTGTTCTGTCTGTACGTCAGTAAAACAAAATGACAAGCTTGACAACCCTGGTCAACATACTCTATCCCTCAACTCATCTCAGATTGCAGAGACCCTGCTTAGCCCTGTGTTTTCAGCGACAAAGAGAAGTTTGTGGAGAACAGACCATAAAGGCAAGGAGGCAATCCACTCCAACCCATTGCAGGGATAACACGGGAGATACCTTCTTACACAAAGCGTTCTGTGAGAATGGAACAAGATACCCAGCCATGTGCCGATAATTTGGCTTCTTTTAAATAACAGCTGGTTGAGATCCTTTGTCAACTAAATACCAAACAGGTTAGATGGGCCGAAATAGCCTCTTCATGCTTGTAACCTTTTTAATGTTCTTATTGAGGTTCAATGCATCACTTGTCTGCTTTTAAAAGCATAATCATTCAGAACGACTAGACAGTAGTCTCTCCTGAAATGTCTGTCAACCCTCTTACTTAATTTTCTTTTTAAACCCAATAGACTAACTTGGGAAAAATTTGGGCAGTTTGCCTATTAATGAGATAAATGTGAACTCAATAAAACAGCATCATAAAACAAAGCAAAGCTATAACCTTTCCTTTAATCTATTTAAACATTCTCCCTATCTCCCACTTCACAAATAACAAAATTACAATGGCATCATAAACCATTACTAATCCTACAAGCTTACAGCACATTAAAAAAACAAGAATAAGAACTGTTCTCCACAAACGCTGGTTTATTAATAGATACAAAGGGAACTACGGATTGTTCTGCACTCAAGGGTCTCAGAAATAAATGAAGGAAACTGAAACTTCACTCCATGTGTCAGTCTGTCTTTCAGTCTCCCACATGACCATGTGCACAGCATTACATCAGCATACTCAAGGATCTTGTCAGGTATTGTTGTTTTCCAAAGAGGGAAAAAAACATTGTCTTATTAGAAGAATAAGACAAAGGGCATCAAGAGATTTCAAAAGCAGTCTCTCGTGTTACTTAAAAAAATTGGGAGACTTCTTTTAACCTGGTACCTTTTCTCCCTGGTATTGTAAACAGAATTGTCCTAATTATCACCAGCTTTGACACTGTTAGAGTAACTCTTATCAGACTGAACCTGGGAAGCAACAAGAGCCACTGCTCTGATTCAGGTCTGTACAGGAGCTGAGGCTGCTGGGTTGGGGTAGAGGATTACTCACTGTCTCCCCCCTGTGGATAGGACATGGCAGTGTTGACAGCCAGGTTACGGCTCAACGAAATATGGATTCTTCTGAAACCTCATTCTCCCGCAGGATTCTCACTCCTTGCTGGGAGGGTCACATGGTCAAACTGTTGTGTGGCTTTTTGTTTCGATACCTTAGCTTCCGTGTTCATTGCCAGACAAGAATGACCAACCTATTACAATGTAAAAAACAAAACTCTCTCCTTGGTAATGTTTTTGTGTGTGTTCTATGCCTAGATGGGGCTTCTTTGCTGTTTACAGAACCCTGCTGCATTAAAATAAGCACATACTCCACCAGGCATCGTGGAATTGTCCACTTCTGCATAAACTGCTGTGTTTGAGTCTGCTCTGTTTTGTACTGTTTTGTGCCAGGTGGATGCTGCACATTGGTGGTGGTGGAGGGGAGTCCCCATTACCTGTAAAGCGCTTTGAGTGGAGTGTCCAGAAAAGCACTATATAAGTGTAAGCAATTATTATTATTATTAGTATGGAGATACGAAGACACGGTATTGTATTTATAAAACATTTAAGGAGCTGAAACAGACTGAAATCAAGTGAAAAGGACAAAACGTAAACACAAAAAACAAAGCGGCCTCATATAAGACGGCATAATTGCAATCCTTTTAAAGCCACCACACTGCTCAGAACCAAGTCTGTTACAAACAAGTCCAAGAAATGGAAAAAATGCCCTAGGCCCTGAAATAAAGGTCAAAAGTAGATGTAACAACCACTCCAATAATAAAATATTTTCAGACCAGAGTACACATATGGAAATTACTGGGAAATACATTTAAAACTGAGAACTGGAGGCAAGTTTTACATAGAGAACTGTGGGAGTGTTGAACATGATGCCCAGCCATATTGTTGAAGGTGACACCCTGGCTTCTGCTTCCACTCTTTCAGTGAATTGCTAGATGAGGCTGTCAGATCAGTTAGCTGCTGTAACCATTCTTTTATTGTGATCATATTATTTATTCTGTCTTTAAAGCTACAATGTAGAACACAATATTTTCTAAATGCAACATGAAAAATGGCACATGGAAGCCTTTTGACCTTTAAATTCAGAATCACGTACCTCTTCTAGCAATATCTCCAGACAAGAGGTACTGTAACCCATTAGCTTATGGACAAATAGAATTGCATGCATATCCACCTTACAATGGGATTGTCTATCTTTCCACTCCATCATTCACCACCCAGTTCACCAAGTCACAACATGCAGTCTGTTCTCTGCTGCTTTATCTTCAGAAATGGAGACTATTGTCTAAACATTGGAGGTTCCAATAGAACTCAGTGTTATTTCATTGTCGCATGCACTCAACTAACTACCAAGGACTGGAGCACAAGGGTCTTCATGAAACTATGTGCATTGAAAGGATCAGGCTACAGAGCACTATACTTAGGTACTATCTGAAGAAAGGCATTATCCTCTATGTCAAACTGGTGAAAGTGCAGTAGTTGTAGCCATTTAGAGGCACTACTGTTCATCTGCAACAGTCAGCACGGTTGCACAAGTCAATTACTGTATAAATTAAAACAAACTGAAATGGTGTATTATTAACCACCAAATAAATGTAAAGTGTTATAATTCATGTCTCAGTTTCTTTAATTTCCATTCCTGGCTGATTAAAATATTTTCTGACCTTTATAAAATGACTTATAAAAATGCAAACGTGGGTTTACCCCATTGCTTATGAAGCTGTGAAACTGCTGTCCTGACACTGTGCAGACCAGAGCAGAAGCGACGCTGCTGTCTCCTGACGTAGGCAAGTCTGAGACACAGTTATAGTGTACCTGAAAGCCTGGAGCTCTACAGACATTGCTTACAGATTGGCTGCATGTTATATGAATCACCACATGCAATGGAATAGAAGGGTATTCCTGTCAAAGTTCTAAAGCGACCCAGGCTACTGGCTCAACAACCAATCACAGACAACATGCTTGGACACAGCACAGCCCGGAGCACAGGCTCATGGGAAATCATACTAACTTGGCAACAGTGTTGGCAATGACCTGATGCAGTGGAAAGAGAAAGAGAGAGAGAGAAAAATCAAAGTTAAAAACACATTCGAGACCTTTCACTCTGGCAACATCACGACATGACCTCAGGCATGGACAGCACTGCAGGGCGTGACTGTACTCAGATGTCCTGATGTCCATTGGTGAGGACAGCCATGAAAATTGTTTGTCTGGTGTGCAAATGAGCAAAATACTCCACTATGGCATCCTGATTAGAAATACTGTACCAAACTAATTTGATTTCTCTTCTACCTCAACCATCTAATTTTATGACCCTGAGCAACATTCAGTTTTTTTTCCCTATAGAAATTTTCTTCTAAGAGAGTCTTGAAATGCTTTGTGCAGATCTTTCTCAGAGCTTGCTTGCCTTCCAGGGAGTTGCCCTTGATTTATTAATTCAATTGGCCTCACGGGCTCCATGACCACGGGTTATAATTGGAGTCTGAGCTTCCTCTCAAAGCTTCTCGAGGACTCCAGACTCTGCCGCCATAAACACAGTTTTAAGGAGTGATGGACAAGGACAGCAGCCACCACGCTGTGCCGCACTGACCCCAGGCCACCGCCCTCCAGCCAAACCAACCGCAGCTCCAAAGCCAAGTTACAGCAGTCACAACCCCACCACATCACCTGCAGGGTTAAAGTTTATGCCAGGGTTCAATAAAGTCCTTTTTTGCCTTGCATGAAAATTCCTGTTTTTCCTAAGCAGGGAGAGAGATGTCCCGGGACATACAGAGCCAGTGTTGGATGTACAGAAACTCGAGCCCTCGAATTCCACTGCCTTTTAAAGGAAAGGCAAAAACAGGTGTCCCTTTGCGCTGGCGCAGAGAGGGTGTAACACTATCGCACACAGCGGACTCAACACCAGCGCCCTCGCTCCAGCCCTGCCACTCGCATGAAGTCACCTCTCCCACTCGCTTGGCTCATGTGCCTCAACTTTCCCATCTCTCGTTTTTAAGGTGGCTCTGACTCTGGATTTTCTTTTGGTATCCCCAAGATGATTCTTTACATAACAAGCTACACAAAGTCAAGGACTTTCTGGGACTGGAAAGTTCTGTGAAGTGACTTTGATGACATAATTTGCAGCTCTGTCTCTAGCCCATAGCAGTTTTTCAAGTAAACACCAGCCAAACAGCCTCAGAGAAACTTCTTCATATTCTCATATTTTAATGTCCATAAGTTAAACTGCCAATGAGAAGGAACAATTTAATCCATTATTCACAAACTTTATCATCAATTGTTCTTCAGCAAAGAATCTTAAAATCAAAGCCAGTTTTTAAAACCAAGAATTCTTTCTTTGGTTGAACTAATGCCCTATGATGGTACTGTATATTACACTCCTTATGTGTTATATACCATCACAGTGCATTATCCAGGTGGATGCTGCACATTGGTGGTGGTAGAGGGGAGTCCCCATTACCTGTAAAGCGCTTTGAGTGGAGTGTTCAGAAAAGCGCTATATAAGTGTAAGCAATTATTATTATTAATTATTATTCCATATGCTCCTTTAAGATTATTCACAGGGCACTCCCTAACTCCAGCTTGGCATATGATTTTCTTTCTGAGGCCTGCCTTCCTTCAGGAGAAGTAGAAGATTTTGTATGTTTGGAAGTAATGAAGGAAGCCATGGAAAGGCACAACATCCTGCTTGTGAATACAGAAGCTACGAATGGCTAAATGTTCTGAGTCTCTTCTCTCCAGCCTGGGATGGAGGAGCTGCTGGTGTTTCTAGTGTCGTGACAGCAGCCTGCCAGCAGATGGAGTCCACTTTATGCAGGGGCAATCCCACAGCACTGGTGAGAAGTATCAGACAGTCACAGTAGCAATATAATCAGACTACATGACATGAGTAACGAGAGATTACTTTAAGGATTGCTTCCAAGAAGAACACTTACTGAACATGTCTGGGTGTCACTTAAGAATTATGTTACAGGCAATTCTCTTTCTCTAAAAGACAAAAAGGTCAACTGAAGTTACCTCGACTGACAACATACTTCTTTAATATTGACACTCCAACAACTACAAGTTAGAGCAACTCAAAGAGTACATACTACGTGCAGTCAGAGTCTGGGTTTAAGCCACTGCCTCAGGCATGCCTTCTATACCTTGAACTGCCCCCCCGATTGCCTGGGAAGGGGTGCATGACCGCCTCTGACGGTCAAGGGAGGTACAGTACATCTCTCTGATTTGTCAGGCTCATTGTTCACTATGAAAATTGGTGCACAAAAGGGGACAAGCGATGACTTTCCACATTAAAGTACATAAATACTTTATATATATCTACAGAGCATTACATTTCTGATGCTGTTTTAAGGCTTAATTCTAACATGTCAAGGAATATAGTAACGAAAACATGCCCTCCCTCTGTTTTACACAAAAGAAAAAAACATAAAACCAGAGGCAACCCAAAAGGTAATCCAAGAGATCTGCTCTGTTACTCATCAGGAGTCCTGTAGTGGACTAATCCCAAGAGATTTGCTGTGGTACACAGCAGGAGACCTATAGTTGATTAAATCCAAAGGATCTGATCTGTTAGAAACATACCTTCTCAACAGTGCTGCTGGGTCAGCCTCTCCTCCGGTTTTTGTGTGATTCAAAAGGAAGGCTGTGTCTATAACCCCAGTCCTCCAAGCAAACAGAACACTGGAAGTCTTACATACTAACAGAGAATGATTCTCACAGTCTCTGAGACCAGGTTCCACTCTAGTCCTGCTCAGAACTGTAATTTATGAGTCTGAAAGAAATAGCTGTTGAAGAAGAAGAGGTTTGGGTTTTATCAGAATACTATATACTGTATTGCTGCAGCTGTGACCATTAGCACCACGTATTTAAAACTCTCTCAGCTCCTCATGAAACTATATTTCCTGATCAATAAGATCCCTACTTATGCAACTGAATGTGAAAGAAGGTTTGTGAAAGTGTTATTTCTGATATTCTAGTAAAAGAAAGAAGCCATCTGCAACTGTATTCTGTGCATTCTTGCAGGATGGGGTTTACAGAACAGCTTTCTGACGGAGACCCGAAGAATCAGTGGACAGACTCTGTTGTGGGTGTTAGTGTGTCCTGTTACATACCCCTGGAGGAGGCCGACAGCAGAGACCCTTCCTCTGCGGCCTCCCTGAGCCTCAGCCATCTCCCTAATGGTGTCGGCTGAGTAAAGGCCTATCGGGGTGTTATACTGCCCCCTCTGCCCTGCCAGTTTGCCCACAGGGCCTGAAAGCCGCTTCGTGGGAGAAGGGCCTCCAGCTTCAGTAATTGAAACGTTAGAGAAATGGTTGATCTCCTGCTTGCTGTAGAAGTAGGAGTTTGTCCCGTTGGTTACCCCCAGTGGCTTAGGGCTGGTAGTGCAGGCTGAGAGGCTGCCATTGATTTGAAGTGACTGATCCTTCAGAAGGAAACAAAAGGCGAGAGAAATGAAACGACAAAAAGAAGGGGAGAGACGATACAGAGAGCAGGGCATAATAAATGAATTCCTGTCCTCACATCTACCAAAGACAGCTTGGGATGAGCAGCGAGAGGTGTGACAATACAGGTTTTCCACTTCAATCACAGACAAGGTGGCCAGATGACGCTTCAATCAGCTGAAACTGAAGTATGCTGTTGTGTACAGTGTTCTCCATGTAATTTAATAGTTGGCTGATTTTGCTGAAGATGATCTTAAGATCAATTAGATATTGTAATACTTTGCTTCAATATCTGTAGCAGCATTCCTGGATTGAACAGTCATTTAAGACACAGCTCCTGACATCCTAGTTGAACAGCACAGTGATGAACTTGGGTCTGGTGATGAACCCCATGACCTAGGGGTTTTGAACTCCTAAGACAGCAGTGCAGTGCTGTCACTGTAACAGGCCTGTTCCTCACAATCCACACTTACACGCACAGGCAGAGGGGATACTTAAAGCTGAAAAGAACAGATAATGTGACAGGTGATTGCCGATGTAAATCTACACACGTGCCATAAAGTAAAAGGCATAGAAAAATAAACACTTTTGTGGGGCAATTTCTAATGATTTACAACCCATTTCACTGCTCTGGACTAAGCAGTGGTATTCTGAGTTCAGCAAGTCCCTGTGTATTTAAGCAGCCATCGCGAGGTGCATCAGGAAAGGGAAAAGACACCACCACAATGGTATCAAATGAATCCCAGCAAGTTTCATCAAAATTCAAATGGTCATGGGGCTGGGGAGGACAGACAGACTGCTTTATTGTGTGCACTTTGGAACCTCCTTGGATCATCTGAAATTCTTGACAATGGTCCGAAGTCTCATCCACAGTAGTCCTATGTGATTTTTTCCACTTAAATCTTAAGAGTTTACTTCTACATTAAAAAAAATTCACACATGCCCATCGAAACAAACACTTAAACCTGGGAGGCATAAGTTATATCACATCTCTTTTACAGGAGAGATCTAATGTAGAAGAGCTATTGACCTCCCAAATAATTACAAAAATCATTAGCACAATGTCACCAGTCATCTTCCCAAACACTTCCATAAAGAATGGCTGGAGAGTGTGGGTTATAGGAACAACAATGCAAAAACACTGACATTTTGCTCCGTTTGAAGCAAGAATGCAACCAGTGTTGCAGAAGAGGAAGACAGTTTCTCATTTTCTCATTCTTTGGCTGCCCAGTAGATGGGGCCAGTAGATTATTCGTAGCAATTGTCAGGGAAGAAACAAAAATTATTACTTTCGAATGTAAATCTTGAATGTTATTTTGCGTCTTGCTTGCATAACCCCAGAAGTAAATTGTGTGCCTTATGTTTGTCACTCAATGTATTGTACTAAGGCCTACTGGGTATTAAATAAGCTAGTTCTCAAATATCATAGCTCTCTTTTTACAGTTTGCTAGCCATTTCCTTCCAATTCTATATCTAAATCTGTTTCCCATTGGTGAATTCAGTGCTCCACTGAATTTTATGATAGTTTTCAGTGACACTTTTTCAGATGCTTTTTATGCTCAACCTGTGACCTCGGTAGCTCTTTCTAGTACTGTGGTATTTTGAATAGTATACATAACTGGAGCAGAATTAATTATGAGAATTAATTCAGCTTTTTTTTTCAACTTAATTCAGACTACAGATATTTTTGTAAATTTTTAAACAGCCATTTAAATACATTTTAGTTGATATCAGTAATTGTTTGAAGTAGGTTATTAGGACATGATGGGTTATACTTTATTCCTACCACACTAGACCTGTTTATTAAGGTTTTATCTGAGAAACACAGCTACAATACGCTGCCTGACACATGCTGGTTCAGCAGGCAGGGTGACTGGACCACACCCTGGCACTGCCCTGCAGGATCTGTTTTACCTTCTGGTGTGGGATGACGGGCATGGGTGAATCCATTCTGGGGGTGGCCGTGGGCACTGGCGCGGGGCGTTTTGACCTGCCACGGGGTACAAAAAGAAACTTATTAAGCCACAAATCAAAAACAGATACAGAAGCATATGGTCTGTTCCACCTCAGCATTGCACCCCTGACATAACACACCCAGAGAATATGCTCGTGAGCTCCTTCCGTTTAAAACAGACTAGTCTACCACTTAAGACAATTTAGTAGTAAAAATGTTAAATATAAAATATTCTTAGACATGATTTTAGCAGTACAGCAAGATACAGCTTCAATCTTAACTTAGTGTTATGCATCTACTAGACAATAGGTTCTTAAAGACATACACAGTTAAAGTGAAAAAGATAACAGCCCTAACTGATAAAAAGAATTATGATTTGCACTACTTCACACAGACATGGCTATGAAAGGATGGAGTCAGCAGCGGTGCATTCCCTGCAGGCTGAACTTGAAAGATAAGCCAGCAGAGGCCATAAACTGTTGACGCAACTCTTGCCACTGGGGTTAAAGAAGAGAAGAGAGCAGAGCTCAGTAGCTGCAGGATAGTCTCCTGCCCTTTTTTCCAGAGCTGAGCTGACCAGTCTGGGATTTGTCTACTTGATTATGTCAGCCTGCACCCCAGAAGCAAAGCCCTGGGTACACTGACTTCTGCACTGCATAGGTCACTGGCACAAACAGTAGGGTACCAGGCCAGGAGGGAAAGAGACAGAGAAAAGAAAGCAGGGATTTCTGCTTCAACAGTTCATGGATGAAATGAAGGCCATCTCTGATTGGAAGGTGTTTTACTTTTGTGTAAGATATGGCTAGTAGGTGAAATGAAAAGGAAAGGGGAACTAAAATTTATGATGGAAACCTTAGTGACTTTTCCAAACTGACCAGTAAGCACCAAGTATGTTGGGGAAAGATGAAGATGCTCTGAAGATGACTGTTTTGAGAGGGGTTTTGAGAATAATACTTCTGAACAGGGAGGAATCAGCAGTGCAGCCAAGTCAATTTGGAAACCAAGGAGTGAATGTTGGAGTGGATGTGTAACCACCGATAGGAATAGCAGAAAGAAAGGTGGGCAGGGAAAAGGAAAGGGACGGAAACATGGAAAACATTGCTCGAGGCCCAATGTGGAATAAGGGACAGAAGAGCCATTCAGCCCGATACAGCCCATTAGTTAGACTAGCTCAGATCTGTGATCCAGTGGCATGCCTGATGCGGAGGGTAGACATAGACCTGGTGGTATACCCAACAGCTGGAAGATTTTGGAGTGGACTGGTTGAACTGGCCTGAGGGAGGGCTAAGTGATGGAGCTGACCACTAAGGGACTTGCACTAGATCGTCCAGGTTGGGGACCATGGGATGGCGCTGATCTTTACTGGAGTCGAAAAGCAGGTGCTGGGTCTGGCTCTGGAGACGGCACTGGAAGGGTTTTCTTTGGGTGTGTTGGAGAACAGAGGACCACAGGGAGTTCAGAGCTGAGAGCAAAGGTCTCAAGGTGAGGAGCAAGTACAGAACAATGCCCACGTGAAGGAATAATGTGTGAGCAGGTGTGACAGATACGTACACTCAGGAAAGTGCAAGCTGGTACAGTTAGGGTCTGACCTCTTCCCAAGCTTTCATTTAAAACTACAGATTGCAGAGAACAGTGATACTATTGTGAAGTGCTCACGTTACTTTCAAGAAACAACTGGACGAGATCCTGGGATCAGTTAACTACAAATTACCAGCTGTGCCAGGTGGGCTACAAGACCTCCTCTCATTTGTAATCCATTTTATGTTCAAATACATTATGTTATGATTTATTTATTTATTTTTAGTCCAGTAACTGAAAATTATCTTTTTTATTATTTTAAACTTATATTTTGGAATGGATGAACAGGTGACTATAAATACCATACAACTAAAAGCAGAGAATTAATCTGACCCCCTTGTGAATAATCTGGGGTGACCCCAGTACTCCCTTAGGGACTGGAATAAACATCATCTACTTGATTATTACTCTATTACGAAAGTACACACGCAATGTTTCTCCCTCAGTCTGCCAGATCAATAATTAATTACATGAAATCTGCTATAGATAAAATCCCAACAATTGGCTTCCACCACCAGAAACAATTTTACAATAAAACAAAACTGGATACATAAAAACCAAATAGATTAAAGTCTCCCCAAGTCTGAAGTCTTTTTACAGTAATTAATAAACAGTAATAAAAAAGAGAGCTGTTGTCAACTGATAAACATTGCTTTCTCAGAAACAACAGTTTAAAATAGTTAATAATAATAATTCCTTACACTTATATAGTGCTTTTCTGGACACTCCACTTAAAGCACATTACAGTACTTTAATGGGGACTCCCCTACACCATCACCAGTGTGCATCCCCACCTGGATGATTCGAAACCACCCATAGTGCACCAGTACACTCACCACACATCAGCTATCAGTGGGGAGGAGAACAGAGTGATACATCCAATTCAGAGATGGGGATTACTAGGAGGCCGTGATTGGTAAATACCAGTGGGAAATTTGGCCAGGACACTGTGGTAGGACAGCCCTACTCTTTTCGAGAAACACACTGGGATTTTTAATGACCATAATCAGGTCCTTGGTTTTATGTCTCATCCGAAGAAACAAGAGCATAGATTTGTAAATAAATATAGATTTGTATTTTTTGACAGTGAAACAAAAAAACAGGCTTGTGTCTTATCAGATTCCAGAAATACATTATAAAAAATGATCTGTCTTCAATGAACAAGATGATTCCATTAAATCTGTCAGCATCCTGTGCTGATTTTGAATGTGCGATTTGAAAACAACGTCAGAAGTGATGACAAAAATGGTTCTGGAGATTAAATTACACCCAAATTGAAAGGAAATGTTCCCCTTTTCAAGTCTGACAAAGAAAATAATGTTTTGACTTCAATGAAATGCTGGTGTTACCAAGGACTATGTGGAACAATGATAGCAAAACAAAATAATCAGTGGAGTAAAGACCACTGTGTGGGAGGACTTACACCACCAAAGTGCACTGCAGTCTCAAAACAAGCATCTGACCTTCAGTTTCTGGGAAACAGAATAACTCTGGCTTGGAGCCACAATGAATTGGATTTTTTGTGCAAACTGAACTTGAAGAAAAGGTTTTACACAGCTTATTTACCAGAGCTTTACTGTAAAAGATAAACAGATTTTGTACCTTCCTGATTAAAGCCTAGAATATACAGGATTTCAAGAACGTTAAGGATTTCATCTGTACATAATTATAATTGTTATACTGTTAATTTACTTGGCTGACACTTTAATTCAGCTTACAACTTCCTACTTTTTCTGTACAAGTGTATATGGTTGGGTTTACTGGAGTAATATTGATCAGACACAGTTCTCAAGGGTATAGCATGATTGCCCACACCTGAGTGTTTTGAGTCCTCTATCCGACAGTCTATCTATCCGAGTATATTAACATGAGAACGCATGCATGTGCACCAGCGTACACACGGAAAGGTATAAAGTACCGTTGTATAATACAATACAGTCATTGGAAGCTGAGGAGCTGGGAAGGAATCGTGCAGATCCTAGTTTCGGGCACACAAACAAGTATTTCTACTTATTTGTTTGGCTGTTTTATACCCCTATCCAGGGCTGGTGAACACGCTTGTCACATGACCTCTGCTGAGATCTGTCATAAACCTCTTTCTCACCTGGTGCACTTCTCATCCTGGAACAAAAAGTCATTCTCTATTTTTGTATGATGTATATTATTGTAAAACGTTAATCTAAGTATGGGCTAAGTATCTATTTTACCTAGTTTGTTTCTTTTCTCCACCATCAACAGCTTGCTAAAGCCAAATTGCCCCACAACATTACCTGTCTCATAGCAACTTTGCATTAAAGTAAAAAAGGAAGTAACAGATATGTTTTCAGGAAAGAATAAGAATAATAAAAATAATTGTGAAATATGAACCCTGATCCAGACAATTTTACAAGAAAGACTGAACAACTTTACAACACACTGGTCCTGCAAGTCTCGACTCAACAGCAAAGACAAAAAAACAGGGCACTGCATCACAGTTAAATCTTGAGGACAATGTGCTCAGACATTTGTCTCTTCTGTATATTTTCTTTACTTCTAACACCAGCAGGGATTTCACTGACCTTCCAGACATTATTTTGTTCTAGCATGTAATCCAGGGCTATAGTTTTATCATTCCAATAAAGAATAGGACAGAATAAGAGTCTTTTTTTATTAAAAAGGGGACTTATAGCTCATACCGGTGAAATCTTCATGTACAGAATCAGCCGGGTCTAAACTGGACTCAGCATTGATGCCAATATCGTAAAACAAGACTCTATATTTAATTATAATTTGTGGCTCACTGTCTCCATTTTGCCCCTCTACTCTTTCCTAGAGTTTTTATAGTACGTTTGCTTTTCACTCTGTTGTCATGCTTGACTATGATTCCATTATACTGTATGTCAGTTTAACTTTTTTTAACATTGTACCAAAGTGAAATTTGAGATGTAGAACCTACAGTAGATGATCTCTTCCCTAATTTTCTAACTTGTATTTCATATTCAAGAGGTCAATACTAATTTTAATGCCACCTCCCTTTGCAGTACCTTAATCATCTCAGTTAGTTAATTACTATAGCTTACAGTACTGTATGTGGCCTCCGACTGTGGTGCACTATGGGTCAACAGAAGTTTCTTTGTTTGAAGGGATGAAAATACTGTACCATGATCAGAAAATAACCAGCTGACATAAAAACAGAATAAAGGGAAAAATAAGATAAAAGTAGATTGCAATGAGCATGCAAAGATCACTTCCAGGTCAGTGAAAGAAAAGCGTCCAGTGAGTTATCTGTTGCTGTTAGATTTAATCTGTCTAGATGGTTTATCTGTTCTTCTTTCATGATGTGACGTTGCTGTATGAAAACCAGCCCACGCATTCGGTAAATTGCATCAAATATCTTTTAGCCTTTCATGTTGAGATGGGAAATAATTATCTTGCTTCATTCCTAAATGTATCCACTTTTCACTGCAGTTTTCTTGTGC